TGGGTTCAAGCGATTTTCCTGCCTCAGCCTCCCGAGTAGGTCAGATTACAGGCACATGCCACCATGCCCGGCTAATTTTTGTATTTTTAATAGAGACAGGGTTTTGCCATGTTGGCCAGGCTGGTCTCGAACTCCTGACCTCAGGTGATCCACCCACCTCGGCCTCCCAGAGTGCTGGGATTACAGGTGTGAGTCACCATGCCCGATTGAAGGGGTCTTTTATTGAACAAACAGACACTGAGCATGGGATGCTGGAGGCACGTGAAGGACAAGAGCTGCTCCTCTGTGACATCCATCTCTTCCTCCTGCCCCAGTGCACTGACTTTGGTCATCAGCCCCTGCCCAGACCACCACAGGCCCGCTCATGTTTCAGGTTTGGGTCTACTTGGTGTGATGAGTAATCAAGACCAGGGTTGGCAAACAGGTTTTATCTCATGCCAACCTCTTGATTGGTAGAGGCATCCTGGAGGGTGGCGGTGGGGATTCTGGAGCTGAAGAGAAAGTACTTTCTGTTCTTCACTCTAGGTGTGCCCTCGCAGCCTGTTTTGTGTGTCGAGGCTAAGCCTCCTCTCACAGGGCACAGAGCACACCAGAGCCTTCATCTGCTTCCTTCCACTCTCCCTCATTTAGTACTCATTGGCACTCACCTTGTGCCAGATTGGGAAGACACCCACAGGCCGCCCCCCATGGTGCTCATGGTCTGGAGTGTGTTGTGATAAGGGCCTCGTGGAAGGACACAGTGAGCTCTGGAAGCCACTGTCTGCCTGGGGAGCCTGGGCAGGCTTCAGAGATGCAAGACCTTCAGCTGACCTTCAAGTGTGAGAAGGAGTTTGCTGGACAGGGAGGGTGGGAAGAGAAGGTGGGAGGAGCAGCTGGGGCCAAGGCATCCGGAGAGAAAAGGCCCAGCTGGCTGCAGTGGCTGAAGCTCTACAGGCCGGAATGGTGGGGATGGGTGGGAGCTGAGGCTGAGAGGTGGTTGGCTTGGGGCTGGTTGCAAAGCTCCTGTTGTGCCAAGGCTGAGCTCAGACTTGATTCAGAAGGCAGTGGGGAGCCACGGGAGGCTTCCAGCAAGGGATGGGGATGTCAGATGGGCATGGGTGCTGTGAAATACCACAGGGTGCTCAATGCTTCTGTTGAGCCTGAGCAAATGGCCCAGAGAGCACCCAGGAGAGCCCTGAAGAGAGAATGTAGACCAGGGCTTCTCAAACTTTTTTTTTTTTTAAGATGGAGTCTCGCTCTGTTGCCCAGGCTGGAGTGCAGTGGCATGATCTCAGCTCACTGCAAGCTCCGCCTCCTGGGTTCAAGCAATTCTCCTGCCTCAGCCTCCCGAGCAGCTGGGATTACAGGTGCCTGCCACCACACCCAGCTAATTTTTTGTATTTTTAGTGGCGATGGGGTTTCACCATGTTGGCCAGGCTGGTCTTGAATCCCCGACCTCAAGTGATCCACCTGCCTCTGCCTCCCAAAGTATAGGGATTACAGGCGTGAGCCACTGCGCCCAGGCTCAAACTTTCACATGCCTGTGAATTACCAGGGGGTCTGGTGAAAACCCCGATTCTGATTCAGCAGGACTGTGGGGAGGCCCAAGGGTCAGCATTTCTGACAAACTGTGTCGTCATGCTGATGCCATTGGACCATGGACACTTTGAGCTGCAAGGATGGAGGACAGCCTCTGGACCCTGAAGGGACAGCTCCTAGGATAGCTTCCCTCATCCCCACCTGCCACCCAGCTCCACACGGCACTTCTCTTTTTCCCAGGCCCACTTGCTACCTCATTGAATTCTCAGGCCACTGAAATAGTTGATAGGGCAGAGCTGTGATCCTCATTTTACAGGCTATGAAATGAGCACACAGCCAGCATTGCTCGAGAGGGGCCAGGTCACCTGATCTGGGGTCAGCTCCTCCGTGGAGAGCTCCTGCCATCAGTCGTGTCTGGCATCGGCAGAACTGGTCCTGCTTGAGATGGAGAGGGGGCTTCCAGGGACTTTTGAGGGACCCTCACTGGCCAAACAGAACATTGACCCAGCTCTCCTCACCTAAGCATCCCTTATTGTCTTTCTCTTAATGAGTCCCACATTAGATTTTGTTCACTATACTGTATTTACTTGTTTCCCCACTGTCCCGTAGTCAGTGGCTTCTGTAACTGTCAACCAGAACTTCTGATGAAGGACCGCCAGTTTTCATCCCAACTTGATTCCAACCAAAAGCAGACTCCAGTGGAGCATTCATGCCCCAGGCTGTGGCTCCACAGAGACACCATAGAGACTGGTGGTTCTGGGCTACAAGGGGCTCTGTAGTGAAATATGCTTGGGATGTGGTAGATGCCATCACATACCCACCTTGGAGGGTCATGATGCACACAGCATATTAAAGGCTTTGAAAGTCTTGCTGTAAAGATCCTCTTTAGCTGGGTTTTCCATAGGTGTCTGACCACAGTCTTTCTGGAGAATCCTCACACAGAGCATTCGGGCCATGCTGAACTAGGTGCTTCTGTTAGGTGGTTCGTCAGTGTCCTACTTCTGCCAAGCTTTTGGAAATGGTGAAAATAGCTAAGGTCCCGCATTAGGTCCTCCAAGGGTCTTTAGGTGTCAGGAACCCCAGGTTGGGAACTCCTGATGGGGAGGTAATGAACAGAAGGTGCCTAGGCTGGGAAGACCTGTCTGAGCAGGTAAGGCCTGCACTGAGACCCGAATGGCAAGAAGCAGCAAGCCAGGAGTGAGTCTGGGGGAAGTGTGTTCCAGGAAGAGGTGACAGCAAGGTCCTGCTCAGGACCAAGCTAGGCTTCCTCTTGCGCCAAGGGTGCCCTCCTCTGAAGTCAGGGGGACACAAGGCTGGGGAGGACAGAGTGCCCCAGAGTAGGCTGGGCAAAGCAGCCTTGCTCAAGGGAAGGGCTGGGGAAAGGCAGACTGCTATAAAACCCCCTGTCCTATCTCCACCTGCAGGGCATCCGAGGAGGCTTTCGTGAAGGAATCCAAGGAGGAGACCCCAGGCACAGAGTGGGAGAAGGTGGCCCAGCTGTGTGACTTCAACCCCAAGAGCAGCAAGCAGTGCAAAGATGTGTCCCGCCTGCGCTCGGTGCTCATGTCCCTGAAGCAGACGCCACTGGCCCGCTAGGTGCCTGCTAGGTGCATGGCCACAGAGCACGGGCCGGGCCTGGGCAGAGGAGGAGCAGCTGCTTTGGTCGGGGCGGAGACTCGCAGCAGCTGCTACCCACAGCCTATTCCACTCCTCCCCATCTCCAGGCGCTGGGAGGGGGACCCTCACCCCTCTCACCCCTCTCTCCCTCCTGGCCCTATGGTCCAGCCCCTCACACCTCCTCTCAGTCTACTCAATTGTGACTGTCCCTCCTGATGTATTTTTTTTTCTTGGCTTAAAGGGTGTGTTGTTAACTCTTTTTACACTTATTTATTATCATTCTCATTTCTCTGGAAGTCTCAACTGGTGTCAGGGCTCAGTTTGTGCTTAGAACTTTCTCAGCTTCGTGGCCTTGAGAGAACGTGAGAATGTTTCCCCATTTCCCAGCCAAGTGGGAGCCTCAAGTTGTCTATGTCTGTTGCCTCCATCTCCAGGAGGAAAGACAGCCTCTCGCAGAATGCTTTTGTAACCTCGATCCTTTAGCAAGTCTGTGAGGTAAATTCTGTTATTCTCATATAGCCAAGGACACCAAGGTTCCCAGAGGGGAAGTGGTTTGTAGTGGGAGGGAAAAGCAAGACAGAGGTTCCTGGTGGTAGCTTCCTTCTCAGCCTGGGGAAGAGCCCTGAAGACCCATGAGACTCCCTTCCTCGGGGTTGGCTGGGACCCTCTGGATGTGGAGGGTCCACTGCCCTGTGTGTTTTGCTTCCTCCTTTAGCTGGGCCCATCTGTGGATTCGGGATAAACAACCAGTGACCACCTTCTTCCCCTTCAGCAGAGTTTGCAAACAGGACGCTTATGACTTGCATGATGTTTAAAAAGATTTGAGTAATTGCCAGTAAATATTAGCTTCCTAGGGCTTCTATAAGAAGGTACATGAACTAGCTGGCTTAGAACAGAAGTTTATCGTCTCATAGTTCTTGAGGCCAGAAATCTGAAATCAAGCTGTGGCAGAGCCATGCTCCCTCTGAAGGAGCTGGGGAAGGGTCTGTTCCACCTGCTCTGGCTTCTGGTAGCCTCAGGCATCCCTTAGCTGGCAGATGCATCACTGCAATCCTGCCCCCATCAGATGGCTGTTTGCACATTGCCTTATAGGTATGTCTGTCTTTGCAGCCAAATTGTCCTTTTTTTTTTTTTCTTATCAAACAGGGTCTCGCTTTGTCACTGAGGCTGGAGTGCAGTGGCACAATCTTGGCTCACTGCAGCCTCAACTTCCTTGGGTCCGGTGATCCTTCCACCTCAGCCTCTCAGGTAGCTGGGACTACAGGCACGTGCCACCACATTCGGCTAATCTTTGCATTTTTAGTAGAGATGGGGCTTTGCCATGTCACCCAGGCTGGGCTCCAACTCCTGGGCTCAAGCGATTTACCCACTTTGGTCTCCCAAAGTGCCGGGATTACAGGGATGAGCCACAGCACCCAGCTTAAGGTCACATTCTAACGAACTAAAAGGACTTCAACATTTTTGGAGGGGGACACCATGACACCAACACTTACAAACAGTGGTCATCCTCTTTAAAAGTGTCACAGTCCTCACCACTCCATGTCCTTGTCTTGTATCTGGAGGCCAAGTCACCACAGTGCACTGCTCTACACCTATCATCTCTGGCTCAAAGCTGACAGGACATGGTGGAGGCGAGACACTTAGCTGGCCCTAGTACAGCCCTCCACACTGAGATCTAGACTCTTGGGGGGTTCAGGAAGGGGCATGTCTTCACTCCTTTTCCTTGTGCCAGCTTGAAGCTGGTGTTGAAAACAGCAGAATCACACACAGCAAGAGCGTTTGAGGAGAGCTGACCACAGACCAGGAACGCCTGTTGGAGACTTTCCATGAAGGAGGAACTCACAGGCCACCTGTCCTCCAGAGTTTGCTCAAGTCCTCAGCCTCCTCTTCCAGAACCCTCAAACATTACATACACAAATCGCTGGAGAGCTTTGGGACTGTGTTCTTCCCACTGTGCCAGACTGCTTCTCAGCCTGTTTCCTCTTCTATACTGTGTCAAGAACCAGATGGTCTAGGCTGGGCATGGTGGCTCACGTCTGTAATCCCAGCAGTTTGGGAGGCTGAGGCAGGTGGATTACCTGAGGTCAGGAGTATTCTTCTAAAAATACAAAATACAAAAATTAGCCGGTCATGGTGGCACACACCTGTAATACCAGCTACTCGGAAGGCTGAGGCAGGAGAATTGCTTGAGCCCGAAGGTTGCAGTGAGCAGAGATTGTGCCGCTGCACTCCAGCCTGGCTGACAGACTGAGACTCTTGTCTCAAAAAAAAAAAAACCAACCAGATGGTCTAGATCAGTGGAGCCCCGTAGACTCTCAGGAGGTGGGAGCAGGATGAGGAGCTGATGGCGGAGTGGAGGGCAGAACCCTCTGTCCCTGACCTCACTATGGGAGGCCTCATCTGAAGGAAGGTGGTCCTACTGAAAGTTTGAAAACCTGCTGGGTAGATCAGCATTTTTCAAATGGCATTACTCTAGGCCCACTGAACTAGAATCTCAAGGAGTGACCTTGAGATTCTTTTTTTTTTTTGAGATGGAGTTTTGCTCTTGTTGTCCAGGCTGGAGTGCAATGGCGGGATCTCAGCTCACCGCAACCTCCACCTCCTGGGTTCAAGTGATTCTCCTGCCTCAGCCTCGTGAGTAGCTGGGATTACAGGCATGCACCACTACGCCCAGCTAATTTTGTATTTTTAGTAGAGATGGGGTTTCTCCATGTTGGTCAGGCTGGTCTTGAACTCTTGACTTCAGGTGATCCGCCCGCTTCAGCCTCCCAAAGTGCTGGGATTACAGGCGTCGGGCCAAATCTCTGCTTTCAAAGTGCCCTGGGGGGCTGTTACTAGGAAAGTTCGGGAATAACTAGACTACACGATTTCTAAGCGCCACACCAGTCTAAAGTCTGTTTCTTTCAAAATCAAAGACCAAAAACCATGGGGATGATACTGAATTCACCATGCTACAAGTGGATTTTTAGAGTTTATTAAGCAGGGGAGTAGAGGGGAGATGTGGCACAAATAGAAGTATGTAACATTCAAACAACAATCTAGGATTTCTGAAAAACTTTCAGTTACGGTTGCACAAAGGGTCACTTCCTCCCCCAACGACACATGGGCCTCTCAGAGGAGAGGAGGGAGTAAGTCCCATGGTAGGACCAGTGGTTGCTCCTGGGTTTTGGAATCATTTCTGCGGAGCTTTCAAGACCAGACCTTGGGCTCAGGGTCGAGATTTCATAGCGGTGACAGCTAGGCCCAGCAAGAGGGCTGTGACCGTGAAACCCTGGGCGGCGATCCGGGTGCGCATCATGAGCTGAGAGCGCCGGCTGTTGCCCCGGTAGAAGGAGTAGAGGCCGTAGGTGAGGGCGGCCACTGTGGCCAGGCAACCTGAAGAGGGGACAAAGCAACTGGGAAACAGCAGGTAGGGCCCCGCAGGTCATCCTCCGCTTTAGGTCTAGCTTCCCCAAAGCCAAGATCTCTGGATCACAGCGGAGGTAGGGGGCGGAGAGGGTAGGTCGAGGTGAGGTCCTCCTAGTCACAGAGTCCTCCCAATCCTAGGCCCCAAATCCCGCCCCCAAACCCGCTGCTCCCGCTCCAATCAGTTTCTCCCCTCACCGCCCCGCCCCCTCGTTACCTCTCTGGTTCGCTCTCATTCCGCTCCCCGCTAGCGCTGTGTCCTCCTCTACTTCCTTCCCTCCGACATCACTCTCCTCTCCTTGCGCAGTTCCTACAGCACCCACTTACCTATGGGTACCACCGGGTTCTCGCGGGTCTTGCGAAGGAACTTTTCCTTGAAAGTCTCTGGAACCCTGTGAACAGTGGGGCTAAGCCCCTCAATGACTGGAGGCTTCGATGGTTCAAAGGGAACCTCCGGAATCACAGGGCCGGGAGTCGCCATGTCCGGGCCACAGCAGCACGAGAAATTAGGGACTCCGAGCTCTGCCTCCCGGTAAAGGTCACGAAAGGGGCGGGGAAAACGAATAGATTGAGCGTTGTACGCAGGCGCAGGTGCTCGTTGCATCCTGGGAGTCGTATGCTCAGAACGGTAGCGCTACGAAAGGACTACATTTCCCCAAATGCCCGCAAAGCCTTGTGCACGCCATCCGGAAGGAGTTTGTTACACGAGGTCTGAGAGTGAGACGCACTTTGAGCTGCCGGTGCCTTGGTCAGCGCGATGCCCAAGGCCAAGGGCAAAACCCGGAGGCAGAAGTTTGGTTACAATGTCAACCGAAAGCGTCTGAACCGGAATGCTCGACGGAAGGCAGCGCCGCGGATCGAATGGTGAGGGGGCTGGGGTTCCGGATGGCGGTGGGCCTCGGCCGGGAGGGTCCGCGAGATGACGGATCCGCGATGTCTCTCTTTGTCCGTAGCTCCCACATTCGACATGCCTGGGACCACGCTAAATCGGTGCGGCAGAACCTGGCCGAGATGGGGTTGGCTGTGGACCCCAACAGGGCGGTGCCCCTCCGTAAGAGAAAGGTACTGACATGGCAGGGTCTCGGTCCCTGTCTTCTTTACTCTTCCCCTGCCATACTGACCTAGGTTTCAGAACTCGGTACTGCCCATACCTTCCCTCAGGCCCTTCCCGAGTTTTCGACCTCCCCACAGTTGGAACGCTCAACTGACGGTGATCACGGGTCTCTTTACTACCTTCATCACACTCCCTCCCCTGCACACATTCCCCACACCCTCTCTACTCGGTCTTTTTTCTCTGAAATTAACCCATTGGCATCTCAACGGTATTTTCCTTAATGTATCTTTTTCTACCCTTAACTTTCCTAATTAGTACTGCGTAAGAGTTGGAGATCTTTACACCTTTTCTTTGTCGCTCTATCATCCTTGGTCTGAGGCTTCCCTAGGCTTCCCTGACTGCAGTCTGCTCCCCGGGTTCAAGCGATGTCCCACCTCAGCGTCCCAAGTAGCTGGGGTTACAAGCGTGTGCCACCACACCCGGCTAATTTTTGTCTTTTTAGTAGAGACAGGGTTTCGCCATGTTGGCCAGGCTGGGCCTCGAGTGATCCACCTGGCCCCCTGGAGGCTTCAACTATTAAAAGAATCTAGATTCCCAAAAGAAAAGCAAGCAATTCATCTTTCTCTGCCTATCTATAAAATGGGTATAACACTCCTTGCCTTAGGGATTATCTAACCCGTGTGGCTGTAGCCTCACATTTATTCAAGAAATGGCAGTGCCATTTTTCCTTTGGCATGATAGAATAAAAAGAAACTTGCCTAAGGCAATGGGACAAATGCATTCAGCAAGCCCATTCATTAGGTTAACTACTTATTGAGAACATGTCACATCCTAAGCACCCTGGGGATTTAGTAGAGAACAAAACACAAAGTTCTTGTCACCAAGGTTATGTTGGGGGTAAAAGGCACAGACGGATTACTTGAGGCCAGGAGTTTGAGACTGGCCTGGCCAACATGGCAAAAACCCATCTGTACTAAAAACACGAAATTTAGCTGGGCATGGTGCACGATTGTAATCCCAGCTACTTGCGAGGCTGAGGCAGGAGATCACTTGAAACCCGGGAGAGGTTGCAGTCAACCAAGATCGCGCCACTGCATTGGAACCTGGGCAACAGAATGAGACTCTGTCTCAAAAAGAGACAGAAAAAAAGCCTCCAGGGCATTAGTTCTCATTGTTACCTACTTCCGCCTAGCCTTGGGCAGGGATTCTTATGGGTTGGTAGTTGTGTTGGGATAAGCAGGAGTCTATAACTTTCCCTCATCAAAGATCCTTCTGGTCTCAAGGACTCTGTTCTCTGCAGGTGAAGGCCATGGAGGTGGACATAGAGGAGAGGCCTAAGGAGCTTGTGCGGAAGCCCTATGTGCTGAATGGTGGGTTTGGTCCATATATTCCTTTAGGTCACTGTCCTGCACTGTGGGAAACTGGGAAGGGCCCTAAGATGTTCTCATTTTGCAGATGGAGAAACCAAGTTTCAGAGGGAAGAAATGAGCTGGTTCAAAGTTCACAGAGTTAGGACTGTGTCCTGGCTGGGTCATTTTTCATTGTACTGACTAAACCCTGACCTTACTGTGTGAACTGAGGTCAGAGATGTTCAGGGAGGATGTAGCTAGGTGCCTGGGAGAATAGAAGAGAAACTAGTAAATCTCAGGCATGTGTGTGGCTTATCATGAATTTAAGGATGAACTGATTTTTAGGGATTCCACTATCTCAATCAATGTTTCCAATGACAAAATCGATTTTACATATATTAAGGCTATAGAGAGTGAATGCTAAAACAGAGGAGAGTAAACCCTACAGGAAAGTGGGAATGCTCTAGAATTCTTCATTCATCCTTCCCCTTACCTGTCAGGGAGTTTAAGCAGCTCCCCTAAAGATAAAGGATTTGAGTGGCCAGACATTTGATACAGAATTCCTTGAGTTCCTGTCTTTATCTCAGTGGTTCTCATGAGAATTAGTGCACAGGATTGTATAAACAAAGCCATGTGCACTTACTGTAGTCAAAGAGAAATATTTTTAAAAATTTTAAATTGTGGTTAAAAAGTACATAAAAGTCACGATCCTAACCATTTTTGTGTGTACTGTTCAGTCAAATATACTCACTTTGTTGTGCAACAGGTCCCTATAACCTTTCATTTTGCAAAACTCAAACTATACCCATTAAACAACTCCCCGTCTTCCCCTACCTCCGACCCCTGGAGACTATGTCAAAGATAATTTTATATACAATAGGACCTAACCCCTGGATATTATTTGCCTACTTCCTTTCTCTGAGGTAGCTCTTTCTCTCAGATGAGAAATGGAGTAGGATTTGCCTGCCTATTTAAAAATGAAGCCATTAGTTGGCTCCACATCCTGGCATTTTCTCTCCCATGGAGCACTAGTAAGGTGCCAGGGCCCAGCTTCAGGCCCCAGACCCGGAAGCTCTAGATCTCACGTATTTAGACCGTCTGATTTCATGTGTTGAAATAATACATCAAGAGCTTCTTTGAGAGGCTTATAGCTGGAAGGGAGCCCTGTCCTGTGGCAGGTATGTGCCTTCATCTCTGTCCTGAGACCTGCCACTAAGTAGAGGTTATTAGTTTGTTACCTTCCTTGTAAATCCACCTGAGGCCCGGAGAGAAGTGACTTCCCTTTCCAAAAGTTGCCATACTGGTAGATGATTGGGTCATAGGAGACAGAGTCTGGGATCCAAGGGGCTGGAGAAGGTTCCAGCAGTGAATTGGGGAATGGGGAGGCAAAGACCCCCAGGTGGTTGGTGTGGTGGGTCTTGTGGCTTGGGAGTGGGTGAAGGGGTGACTGGACAGCTCAAAGAGCACAGAAAGCAAAGCCTCATTCCCTGTTTCCCCGCTTCTCGTCATTCCAGACCTGGAGGCAGAAGCCAGCCTTCCAGAAAAGAAAGGAAATACTCTGTCTCGGGACCTCATTGACTACGTACGCTACATGGTGGAGAACCACGGGGAGGACTATAAGGTGAGCCGGCTGAGGCCACGTGGGCTGGCTGGGAAGGTGCCCTGGACCATTCGCGGCTTGATCTGCTTGCGCAGCACCTGTTTTCTGAAACTGAGTGCAAAGAAAGGGAGGAAAAAGAGACTCTGGGAAATGGATCCTACTGACAGGGACCTAACTCGAACGAATGCTTAAGGCAAGGATAGACTGAGTGGCCTTGGTTCCTGTCTCACTCACAGATAAATGTTTTGCTTGCATATGGTGTTTTTTGGTGTGTTTTTGTTTTTGAGACAGAATCTCACTCTGTCACCCAGGCTGGAAGTCTATTTTTGGCTTCCTTAACAGTGGAAAGATCCGGCTACAAACAATGGACCCTTGGGCCCAGGTGGGATTAGTTGGCTGTGATGCGTCATGAGCTCCTCAGCTGGCCCCAGCTCCTCCCTGGCCCACTGGACTCTCAGGCCTTCCTGGTCTTTTTTTGAGACAGTCTCCCTCTGTCACCCAGGGTGGAGTGCAGTGGTGTGATCATGGCTCACCACAGCCTCAACCTCCCAGGCTGAAACAGTCCTCTTGCCTCAGCCTCCCAAGTAGCTGGGACCACAGGATGGTTAATTTATTGTTTTTGGAGAGACAGGGTCTCACTATGTTGCCCAGGGTGGCCTGGAACTCCTGGGCTCAAGAGATCCTCCCACCTCGGTCTCCCAGAGTGTTGGGAGTACAGGCGTGAGCCACTGTGCCTGGTGCACCACAGCCTTTGAGGTTAGGATTCTGGACCTCGGGTAGATAGCAAGTGGCTTGCCTAATTCAGGATGAGCTAAGATTTCAGTCTTTGCCTATCTAGCCCTCTCTTAAAGTAGCCCTTCTCCTTTCTTAGGCCATGGCCCGTGATGAGAAGAATTACTATCAAGATACTCCAAAACAGATTCGGAACAAGATCAACGTCTATAAACGCTTTTACCCAGCAGAGTGGCAAGACTTCCTTGATTCTCTGCAGAAGAGTAAGATGGAGGTTGAGTGAGTGGTTTACATCACAGCCGCCCCAGGCTGAGGCCTGCCCCGGACCAGTGAAGCTCGAGTCAGGGTGTAAGGCAAGGAGGGCTGTGTGGCTCCAGAGGCGCTGGCCAGGTCCCATGGAATCAGAAGGTTACACACGCACGCACACACACACACACACACACACACACACTCCCCGCTCTGGGGAAGGAACTGTTTTCAGAGGCTCCAATTTATATTCGTCTGGGGGTTCATGGAAAAGCCAGAACCTGCTGTTTTCAGGGTAGGTGGTTTTTATATATAGTGTGTACATAATAAAACAAAGGTATTTTACTTCTCTGATGATTTTGTATTTTCTGCTGTCAGCCAAACCCTGGGGCTGCCCCAGCGAAAAGCACCTAAGCACCTCCACCGGGGCTGAGAGGCCATCCCGCCTTTAGCAAGTGCTACATTCACATGCTCTTCTAGGCACGGCCCCGGCCTCCTCCTGATTGCTGTCTGCCCGTTTCCCACACGGCAGTTCCTCTCACCTCTACAGAAGCTCGCCAGGAACCCTGGGCTGCTTGGAAGGGGCCTGCCTTGCCCACGCTAGTCCCACCCCTAGGCTAGGGGCTGGTGGGGCCTAGCCTGAGGCCAGCTGTGGCTTTACTGGTGGAGGGTAAGGAGCTCGGGGGGGTAAGGAGCTCCGCCGGACTCTGAGTGAGCTGCCCTCTGAGTGACCTGCCTCCTCTGCTTTTCTTTGCATTGCTTATGTTGGCCTTGGTCCGAAGTGAATCCGAGGCCCCCAGCCTGGCTTCTGGGACTGGTGGACTGCTGAATCCTACTCTGTTGTATGCCAAGCACTGGGCTACACATGGCATGGCCATCCTTCGGGGCCAGGCTTGCCTGATTCGGTGGCATGAGGTGATGTCCACAATGTAGCAGGATCGCAAGCAGGGTATGGAGTGGGCACTGGGCATTTTCTTAAGTCCTGCTACTTGATCCCCAACTATTAGTCATACAAAAACCTCATTCCCAGGGTTTCTCAGTCACCTATCAGCTGTCTCTTGTCACTCATTGTTCTCAAAAGGAGGGCCTGCTTTTTTTCCATGGATCATTTCATGTGAAATCTTGTATGATGCATGGTTTTATCCTCATCTTACAGGTAAGGAAACAGGCTACAAGGTGTCAAGGTGGGGTTTGAAGTCTGTCCAACAACTAAGCCTAGGCTTTCTGCTTGCTCTCTTCCCCTTTAAGGACCCCGAAGGCTGCCCATCAGTCCCACACCATCAAGTCAGGCTGGGACAGCCCCAGAAGCCCCCTTACTGGAGCCAGCCGTAGCCTCCAGCAATGACTGGCCCTGGGAAGCACGCAGCGGTGTTTAGTCTGCAGCGGAGCTCCTGAGGGCCTATTTGGCCCCATCTCATGTCCTCCACAGGATTCCAAATTCAGGCCTTTGGCTGGGGTGGCCCCTTAACGTGTATCTTTATGCAGTTGAGGAAAGAACTTTAAGAAGCCTTCCCTACCACTATCCCCACCCCCAGGCCATGTGAGTGTCTTGTAGGTTTTCTGAGACAAGATCTTGATCTTGTATCCCAGGCCAGAGTACAATGACATGATCATGGCCCACTGCAGAAGCAGCCTCAACCTCCCAGGCCCAAGTGGTCCTCCCTCCTCAGCCCATCCCAGGAAGCCATCTCTGGTGGCCTCTCTTCAGAGGGATGGTAATAGGTCAGAGAATGGAAAATCGGAAGCCACCGCTTCATCTGAGTTACTGAGGAACAAAAGCCCCCAGTGCCAGGTGAGTGACCAGACACAGGTTCAACAGGTAAGTGTCGTGAAGACTTCCCTTCTATGTGAGGAGTGGACGCTCTGCATGGTCGGCACCACCCACTCCCTCAGGTCCACAGCCTTCCCTCCAGCCATCTCTGTTGGAACATGAGAGCTGCCCAAACATTTAACTCTGTTCCCAAGCTCAGCTAGGTTGGCAGCTGTTGGGTTTAGGCAGTGGGGGGAACACAGTATCACCCAGGCTAGATCGTGAGCAGCTCAGGGTAACTGGACTGGTTCCCAAGAGCAGGTGATCGTGGCTCCTGAATCACAAAGTCATATTCAGGAGCAGCTGGGTAAGGGCACCACACAGCCAGTTAGGTGAGGTTCTTTTTTTTTTTTTTTTTTTTTGAGACGGAGTCTCGCGCTGTGTCACCCAGACTGGAGTGCAGTGGCGCGATCTCGGCTCACTGCAAGCTCCGCCTCCCAGGTTCACGCCATTCTCCTGCCTCAGCCTCCGAGTAGCTGGGACTACAGGCGCCCGCCACCACGCCCGGCTAGTTTTTTTGTATTTTTAGTAGAGACGGGGTTTCACCATGTTAGCCAGGATGGTCTCGATCTCCTGACCTCGTGATCCACCCGCCTCGGCCTCCCAAAGTGCTGGGATTACAGGCTTGAGCCACCGCGCCCGGCCAGGTGAGGTGAGGTTCTTAAGGCCTGTTCACCCACTCTGCCCAGTCTACGTGTGGTGGAAACCAAAGCAGGTGAGGACTGTGCCTGGGGAACAGGCCAGCAGCCCCACCAGAGGAGCGCAGCTGCTGACCACCAAGCCACAGGCTCTAGGACACTTACATTCTGTACCAGTATCACAGAGCGGTGACACTCTGGACCTTCAGTGCCCTCAGTGTGCTGCTGGGAGTGGTCTTGATAAAAGCAGCTCAAGTAGACATAAAGAAACTTTATTCTCCAAGGTCACCTCCCACAACTGGGGACTTTAAAAATTGTACTATATAAAGATATTCATTAGACATATACAGATCTTAATTAGGTAAAATGGGACCCCCTCAACAATTAAACTGGTTCCAAAGGTGACCTCTGTTAAACTGCATTAAATCTGGCCTAAAGCTGCCTCTGTACATAGTGAATTATAACCTAACTTAATGTGTAAACACCCTGCAACCTAATCTAAGAGTCTACTCTTGTAACAAGTAGCCAAATCTCAGCCAACCATAGGCTGAAGGCTGCCAAAACATGTCCAAAGAAGGGAAACGCCAGACTGCAGCCAATCAGGCTATCTCTGTATGTCATTTCCATTCCTTTGCCTATAAATATAGCCTGCACACATTCTGAACCATCGCTTTTGGTCCTGAGTGCTACCCGGTTCATGAACCCTCTTCTGCTCAATTAAGCTGTTAAAGTTAACTTGTCTATAAAATTTTTCTTTTAACAAATTGGTGTCAGAAGTAGGATCCGAAGTAGAACTTCAGTGACCTCCAGGAGCACTGAGTGACCACACAAAAAGGTATCTGCCAGGGCCCATCGTGCCCACTGATCTCTCACAGCAACTAGAGGCCATAGTGAGTTATGGGATTCTGAGCTCCACAAATTTGTGTTTTGAGCTCTCCAAGTTTATCTGAGCAATTTTTACTGGACTGGGTCCTGGATTAGACTCAATCCCGTAATAAACTGGATGGATCCAGTTAGAGGCATTGGGTAGGTTATCCTTTTGATAATGGTCTTGTTTCAATCCAAGGAGTCTGGGACTCCACCTTCTGGAACTCCATCTAATTTTATATATAAGAATTATGAGGCTGGGTGTGGTGGCTGATGCCTGGAATCCCAGCACTTTGGGAGGTCAAGGCAGGAAGATCTCTTGAGCTCACAAGTTTGAGACCAGCCTGGGCAACATGGCAAAACCCCATCTCTACAAAAAATACAGAAGTTAGTTGGGCGTGGTGGTGTATGCCTGTAGTCCCAGCTACTCGGGAGGCTGAGGTGGCAAGATCTCTTGTGCCCAGGAGGCAGAGGTTGCAGTAAGCCAAGATCACGCCACTGCATTCCAGCCTGGGCGACAAAAGCAACACTGTATCTCAAAAAACAAAACAAGTCCGGGCGTGGTGGCTCACACTTGTAATCCCAACACTTTGGGAGGCCGAGGTGGGAGATCACCTCACCTGCCTGGCCAATGTGGCCAAACCCCTCCCTACTAAAAATACAAAAATTAGCTGGGCGTGGTAGTGCACACCTGTGAGTGCAGCTACTCAGGAGGCTGAGGCAGGAGAATTGCTTGAACCTGGGAGGCGGAGGGTGCAGTAAGCTGAGATTGCACCACAGCACTCCAGCCTGGGTGGTGACAGAGTAAGGCTCTGTCTCAAAAAAAAAAAAAAAAAAAAAAAAAAATCCCCAAGATTATGGACCCAGACCTTGTTTTTAGAAAACCAGGCTAACCTTACTAGAAACAACTTAGAATTAAAATGGCCACAATGAGGAAACTTTAAATAAAACTGTTTATTTGTGGGACACATTAGAAAAGAAAGGATCAAAAACTCCACAAAAACAATGGGATGCATTTTAAATTGGTCTCTGCAGAGGCACCCAAAAGACTATACAAATCTAAAATTGCCTAAAAGATTCTTTACAAAACGCAAATGAAAGTCTCATGCAGCACACTAACCCCGACTGCTCCTTCTCTTTCTCCTCTTTACCTTGATGCTCTGAGTATAGTAACCCTTTTGCGAAGTCACCTTTTCTCCTTGAGGCTAATGAAAGAGGGGAAGTTGGATAAATGCCTTGCAAAGTGAGACTCTCTAGTCAACCGGCCCTGCCTGCTGTAACCACTTTTACTCCATTGTCTAAAGCTGAGCTTAGAGCCATCATAAAGACTTAACTAATCCAAGAGAAAATACTCAAAAATGTACTGGGAAACTGAGAATCCTCATAGGAGCTTATGATCCAGGCCTCTAATCTTTACCAGTTTATTCACATGATACTGGGACCTGGTGAAGCTCGAAGATTGACATTGAGGGCAGGAGTAGAATGGAAACAGCCTGAGGATATTAAAGACTACTCCAAAACCCCAAGAGGAGGGCCAAAAGGAACTAGAAGAATTGCCAAAAATCTTTTAAATTCAATCCCTAAGACTTTTCCACAAAAAAATTGATTGGTCAATCATATAATCTTGTGGGCAAAAGATGAACCAGTTTCAGATTATAGAGCTCATTTAGAAACACTACTTGTGAAACCTGCAGAGACAGAAATGACATTAACTGCTCTATTTAAAAAGGACTTCATTCAGAACTTCGCAGTCTAATTAAGAAATATAAACCAGGATGGAAAGGAACAGATATGGTTGCTCTAGGATTTCCAAATTACACTGAACCCTTCACCTTGTTTGTTCATAAACACAACAATCAGGCATTAGGAGTTCTTACTCAAGAACATAGTTGGCCCAGCACTTTGGGAGGCCGAGGCGGGTGATCACCTGAGGTCAGGAGTTCGAGACCAGCCTAACCAACATGGTGAAACCCCGTCGCTACTAAATACAAAAAATTAGCCAGGTGTGGTGGCACACGCCTGTAATCCCAGCTACTTGG